CTCCCGGCTGTTGAGTCGAAAGACAAAAGCAGGAGCCTGGCGGCTGTACAAGTTACAAGCTGTGCGAAACTTCAGGCCAGCCTGTCCTAACAGGCCTGAGACCGACTGCCGATCATAGCCAAGTTGCAAGCCAGGCCAATCACGGCCAATCGTGGCCAATGGTGGCCAATCTCAAATGCCAAAAATTTGAAACAATTCCTTGATTTTTCAGGACTGCGCAGTGTGAGGAATCTCGGCGACCTTGTTGTACTCCTCCAGTTGCTTCAAGGAGCTTGCCACCCGCTGCTCCTTGGTGGGCGCCTCGCTCAGCTTCTGCTGAGCGATCTCCATCTCTTTCAAGGCCTGCGGAAAATGCAGCGCCTCAATGCGCGAGCGGGTGACGTAGTCAACCTCGCCCGGCCGTGTTGCCGCATTGGCCGCATCAATGCCCTGCATGTAGGCGGGCCGATCCAGCTGAAAGTCAGGGCGGGCGGAGCCAGTGCCTGCCCAGCTGTTCTGAGGAGCTGCGAAGCTCAACACGAGCCCTGCAAGCACTGCCAGAAACCCGGCAGAGACGTTGGGAGTCTGCTCCGGTGGTGCTTCCCCAGCCTTCACTGCCACACGCGGCACCGCGCGCGGCGTAGAAGGTGCCAGGAAGCAGGGCAGCAGAATGGCCGAAACCAGCAGAGTGCAGGTCAGAACACGAGCCATCCCAACAAACGGCCTCGAAGCGCTTCTAGTCGCCTTGTCTGAGATCTCAAATGGCTTTGGTCATAACGGGTTCACCGTGGCCGTGATCAACTACAACCATGTCTTGCCACCATTTGGCCAAAAAATGTATGATAACCTTTCATGCAGGGACATGTCCCAAATGATATCGGCAGCTCACTTCTACTGCTTCTACGTGACTCTACATTCCGCTTTTGCTGCCTGTGCTAGCCATGCTATTCCTGGCACCCAAGCGCTTGACACTTCATATGCCACGGATCTGCACGGCTGCTTTTGCTTGCGATTGCTCATGGCGAGTGACACTGTCGCGAGTGCCTTTGACGCAAATGCCTGTGTCGCGAGCTATGCGTGACATCGCGTGACTTCTAGTCATATAAAGGCGGATGCCAGTTCCTCCCGGCTGTTGAGTCGAAAGACAAAAGCAGGAGCCTGGCGGCTGTACAAGTTACAAGCTATGCGAAACCTCAGGCCAGCCTGTCCTAACAGGCCTGAGACCGACTGCCGATCATAGCCAAGTTGCAAGCCAGGCCAATCACGGCCAATCGTGGCCAATGGTGGCCAATCTCAAATGCCACAAAATTGAAACAATTCTTTCATTTTTCAGGACTGCGCAGTGTGAGGAATCTCGGCGACCTTGTTGTACTCCTCCAGTTGCTTCAAGGAGTTTGCCACCCGCTGCTCCTTGGTGGGCGCCTCGCTCAGCTTCTGCTGAGCGATCTCCATCTCTTTCAAGGCCTGCGGAAAATGCAGCGCCTCAATGCGCGAGCGGGTGACATAGTCAACCTCGCCAGGCCGTGTTGCCGCATTGGCCGCATCAATGCCCTGCATGTAGGCGGGCCGATCCAGCTGAAAGACAGGACGGTTGGTGCCAGTGCCTGCCCAGCTAGGAGCTGCGAAGCTCAACACGAGCCCTGCAAGCACTGCCAGAAACCCGGCAGAGACGTTGGGAGTCTGCTCCGGTGGTGCTTCCCCAGCCTTCACTGCCACACGCGGCACCGCCCGCGGCGTAGAAGGTGCCAGGAAGCAGGGCAGCAGAATGGCCGAAACCAGCAGAGTGCAGGTCAGAACACGAGCCATCCCAACAAACGGCCTCGAAGCGCTTCTAGTCGCCTTGTCTGAGATCTCAAATGGCTTTGGTCATAACGGGTTCACCATGGCCGTGATCAACTACAACCATCCATTGCCAGCATTTGGCCCAAAAATGCATGATAACTTTTCATGCAGGGACATGTCGCAAATGATATCGACAGCTCACTTCTACCGCTTCTACGTGACTCTACATTCCGCTTTTGCTGCCTGTGCTAGCCATGCTATTCCTGGCACCCAAGCGCTTGACACTTCATATGCCACGGATCTGCATGGCTGCTTTTGCTTGCGATTGCTCATGGCGAGTGACACTGTCGCGAGTGACACTGTCGCGAGTGACACTGTCGCGAGTGCCTTTGTCGCAAGTGCCTGTGTCGCGAGTTCTGCGTGACATCGCGTGACTTTTAGTCATATAAATGCGGATGCCAGTTCCTCCCGGCTGCTGAGTCGATAGACAAAAGCAGGAGCCTGGCGGCTGTACAAGTTACAAGCTGTGCGAAACTTCAGGCCAGCCTGTCCTAACAGGCCTGAGACCGACTGCCGATCATAGCCAAGTTGCAAGCCAGGCCAATCACGGCCAATCGTGGCCAATGGTGGCCAATCTCAAATGCCAATAAATTGAAACATTTTCTTGATTTCTCAGGACTGCACAGTGTGAGGAATCTCAGCGACCTTGTTGTACTCCTCCAGTTGCTTCAAGGAGTTTGCCACCCGCTGCTCCTTGGTGGGCGCCTCGCTCAGCTTCTGCTGAGTGATCTCCATCTCTTTCAAGGCCTGCGGAAAATGCAGCGCCTCAATGCGCGAGCGGGTGACATAGTCAACCTCCCCAGGCCGTGTTGCCGCATTGGCCGCATCAATGCCCTGCATGTAGGCGGGCCGATCCAGCTGAAAGACAGGGCGGTTGGTGCCAGTGCCTGCCCAGCTAGGAGCTGCGAAGCTCAACACGAGCCCTGCAAGCACTGCCAGAAACCCGGCAGAGACGTTGGGAGTCTGCTCCGGTGGTGCTTCCCCAGCCTTCACTGCCACACGCGGCACCGCGCGCGGCGTAGAAGGTGCCAGGAAGCAGGGCAGCAGAATGGCCGAAACCAGCAGAGTGCAGGTCAGAACACGAGCCATCCCAACAAACGGCCTCGAAGCGCTTCTAGTCGCCTTGTCTGAGATCTCAAATGGCTTTGGTCATAACGGGTTCACCATGGCCGTGATCAACTACAACCATGTCTTGCCACCATTTGGCCAAAAAATGTATGATAACCTTTCAGGCAGGGACATGTCCCAAATGATATCGGCAGCTCACTTCTACTGCTTCTACGTGACTCTACATTCCGCTTTTGCTGCCTCTGCTAGCCTTGTTAATCCTGGCACCCAAGCGCCTGACACTGCAACGGATCTGCACGGCTGTTTGTCTTACGATTGCTCATGGCGAGTGACACTGTCGCGAGTGACACTGTCGCGAGTGCCTTTGTCGCAAGTGCCTGTGTCGCGAGTTCTGCGTGACATCGCGTGACTTCTAGTCATATAAAGGCGGATGCCAGTTCCTCCCGGCTGCTGAGTCGAAAGACAAAAGCAGGAGCCTGGCGGCTGTACAAGTTACAAGCTGTGCGAAACTTCAGGCCAGCCTGTCCTAACAGGCCTGAGACCGACTGCCGATCACAGCCAAGTTGCAAGCCAGGCCAATCACGGCCAATCGTGGCCAATGGTGGCCAATCTCAAATGCCAATAATTTGAAACATTTCCTTGGTTTCTCAGGACTGCACAGTGTGAGGAATCTCGGCGACCTTGTTGTACTCCTCCAGTTGCTTCAAGGAGTTTGCCACCCGCTGCTCCTTGGTGGGCGCCTCGCTCAGCTTCTGCTGAGTGATCTCCATCTCTTTCAAGGCCTGCGGAAAATGCAGCGCCTCAATGCGCGAGCGGGTGACATAGTCAACCTCGCCCGGCCGTGTTGCCGCATTGGCCGCATCAATGCCCTGCATGTAGGCGGGCCGATCCAGCTGAAAGACAGGACGGTTGGTGCCAGTGCCTGCCCAGCTAGGAGCTGCGAAGCTCAACACGAGCCCTGCAAGCACTGCCAGAAACCCGGCAGAGACGTTGGGAGTCTGCTCCGGTGGTGCTTCCCCAGCCTTCACTGCCACACGCGGCACCGCGCGCGGTGTAGAAGGTGCCAGGAAGCAGGGCAGCAGAATGGCCGAAACCAGCAGAGTGCAGGTCAGAACACGAGCCATCCCAACAAACGGCCTCGAAGCGCTTCTAGTCGCCTTGTCTGAGATCTCAAATGGCTTTGGTCATAACGGGTTCACCATGGCCGTAAGCATCTTTCAGCTGCCATGCGATACAACCATTGCAACCTCGTTAACATTAACATGGTACGGGCTGTCATGCATCTAGACTTATTTTCTGATGAGACATGATTGACTCATGCTGACTCACTCTCATTGCTGTTGGCACACAACCGCTCACGCATCAAGGCCGGGACAGTCATGAGAAACTCTGACAGTCCATTCCTTAGCTACAAGCATCGACATGGGTTGATCCATGCGCATTCCGTCTGAATACACTCGACAGGAAACAAGTGCGAAAGAAGTTCCAAATCGTCAAGCTTGTCTAAAGCCTCGAGCCATGCATGAGTGCCAAACTCTACAACTGGGTCGGAAACTGTCATACCACTCAGTCAGCAAAGCCGGCAGTACTTCACAAACCGAAGCCCCGGATGTCTTACCTGCTACCACGCAACCACTTCTCGTACCTGAAGGTTCACAAGGTCCAATCCTAAGGTATGTACTGAAATCTCTAGGGGGCGCAATTCAATGGCTCCCAGGTTTACCAATCTCAAGGTTGACCCATCACGTTGGCCAACCTCAACTCAGCTTGCCTGGAGAAAAGCCATTCCAGGCTTCACGCCAGCAATGATGGTACTTATACTTAGGTTGCCCTCCTCCGCTTTTTGTAGGAGCGCGAAAGTCGTGGTTGTCCTTGCCCTCCCTAAATGAACCGGCGACAACCGTAGATTCTTGACAAGCTGCCAAATCATCACGCGGTTCATGTACTCAAACGCCACCTGCGCGACGTTTACCAGGGAAGGTTTCAGGTCTCCCAAAAAGGGGCTGAACTTGCAAGATGTGTTCAACATGGTGAAACCAAATGCCAAGATGGTAAGGCCAGGTGAATTGGGGGCTCACAGCAAAGTCGAATGCACGTGATTTTTTTGAATTGCGGGCAAAACGGTGCAAATCACCTCCTGTTCACATATGAGCGGCCCAGCATGCCAATTATGTTTGATAAGTAATCCCTCAAGCAGGTATCAAAGGGTTCTTGTTTTTTCTGTATGCTCCGTGCGGAAGTTGCATGAGATGTCTTGTGAGTTGGCTTGCAAAAAAACGGTACTTAGGTGCATCATTTCTGTTGGTCATCAGCCTTCAGAATGTCCTGCCTGCCGCTCCATGCAGTGACACCATGTAGGGTTTGATTCAAAATCGGGGAACCGCCCCCCAAATGGGGTTGGGTGGGTGCTTCTTTTTCAACAAGGGTGCTTTGCCTGGCGTACCTGTGATGCAGTTTGGAAAGAGCATACCAGCTCCAAACAAACACAGCACATTTGCCGTGTCCGCCTGCCGTCGCGCAGTCGGGTCGATGTGCACCTGAGCCACTTGTTGTTACCCTGACCTAAAATGTGATGCCTCGGAGCTAGGTGGGTCGGGGCAAATGAAGAGAAACAAAGGGAAATATTGGGAACAAACGAAAATGCGGGGAACCGTTGGAACTATTAAAAAATATCGGGAACACATATCGGGTCACATTTAACTATTTCAAACATATGCCTCTTTGGCACATCGCGCGACCCGAACTGCACGGAAATCGGCTGGGACGCCACAGGAAGGCGCAAAGGGCGGAATGGTGCCCCTTTTTTCGGGAATGAATTGGAACCATCGAGAAACCTAGCGCAACATAAGTCTATATTGTTCCTATATCTATATCACAGAAGGGGGAAGCCCTGGAAGCCGCCTTTTTTTCAGATTCCTGTGGGGGCTGCGTGTTTCACCAAAACCCGCCCAACCACCCCCCCCCCCCAAAAAAAAAGGGAGAAAGAAAGCAAAAAGAAGCCAAACAGCAAGCCCATCAACGTCATCTGCTCGTTCAAGGCCTCATATTTGTTGGTTGGGGAGGCCAAAAGCCAGAAAATAACCCAAAAAACGGGGGAGACTAAAAACATCAGCCCATCATCTTCATCTGCTCGTTCGAGACCTGGGGTTGGTTAGAGTTATCATTGTTACATAGACTCATTCTAGTTCAAAATATATCTAGACAAAGAAATTGTGGTTGGATTCATGCCTTCTGAGTGATGGATTCATTCCTTACCAATGTACGTTTAAACTTGAAATTCACTGTAAAGTTCTATTGGGAAAGGATCTCCGTCTAGAGTCTAATTGTAAGATGCAATTCGCTATAGGATTCTGATCAAGCATTTTCTTTTTGAGTCCCAATTCAAACCTTTTCATTCAAGCTGAATTTGAAAGAGCGGCTGTTGGTGGAGATGTGAACTGGGTACGAAACCGGCTACACAACGCTGTGTTTTACGGTGTTTTCTGACCATGGTAGTGCTGGGGCTAGTAAGCAAAAACACGATTTCGGGACCTCTGAATTATTTCCTTATGACTTTATAGCTTTATCAAATTTCCTGACTTAAAGCAAGTAGTTTATAGAGACAGACTCCAATCAGAATTTCAATGAGAAAGTAAAATCTGAATATTGATGTTTATATTTCAAAAAATGTCACACAGGAACATGTACTCAACATTTTCGGGACCGAACATATATTTCCTTGTGAAAGCTACTTAGTATGCTGATCAAGTTCTGCCTAATTTCTATCTCACATGAAACGGCATGTAATAAGGACAGCATCCAACCTTTCTTTCAAACTAGAATTTACTTAATGATGATTGTATGGCAAGATAAGTGCTACACAGGAGGTCCTTTCCAACAGAATCGGCTTTGCAAATCAGCAAACATTCAACAATGTGTAATCATTTAACAATTTTGGGACCTCGAAGTTATTTCTCTGATAAATTATAGTGTATGTATCAAGTTTATCTCAAATTCTAAGTAAAGCTAAGAATAGTTAAAGAAGGAGCGAGTCCAATCAAAGGAAACAAACGCAGCCCACGCGACCCGCCCTCTATATAGATGCATATATACAGGAATGACTGAACACAGAGGCTTTCAAGCGCTGTAAAGCAGTCTTGGATCTAAGACCTACTGTTCAAGATTCCCAAAACTCTAGACCTTGCATCTCGCTTGAAGCACTTTTGGATCTAAGATTCAAGATTCCCAGGATCTAGAGTCCTGGGAGTCTTTCATCTTGAATCTTACATCCAAGCGTGATTGAAATCTCTTTGTAGCTTCTCTGCGCGGATGCAGTCACAGTCGACTGTGCAGGTATAAACGCGCAAATATGCCTGTGAATGTTGTTGAGGGTATGCAACGCGCGACGCGGCACGACTCTTGTTCCGCAGGTATGTAACGGGGGACGGCCCCTTTTTACGGAGGTGTGCACCGCGAGAACAGCGCTTGACAAGTATCAGTAGCGCAAGGTGGAGCTCCTGCTCGCAAGTCGATTTAGTCAGTGCAAGTGCAGCACGCAAAGCGCACCTCCGCAGCTCCAGCTATATTCTAGGGTGGCCGAAGGGGAGCAAAACTCACCAAAGGCACTGTGAGTACCGTGGTATATACAACCCCCTGCATGACCAGCCTTTTTGGTTGCAAAGAAGGATCTCATCAGTCGCTTGCCCCTCCCTTCAACACATCTGCCCATCTGTACATATATACATGTAGAGACTATGCTGTAACCTACACATATATGAATATATCATAACATGTATATATATATAGATACATATACGCATATATACGTCCCCAAGGGAAGCCCCCCCAACAGTTTCACCCCGACTCGCGCGAGCCATTGAGCCCCTTGCCAGGCGGATGCCTAAGAGCCGATCTCGGAGCTCGCTGAAGGAGCCCCACCTCACCGCCAGGCCCAGGCCGATCGCCCGAAAACTTCGGCGGTTTTCCGTTCGGTTCCCCGTTCAAACCACCCCAAAAAAACCTTTTAAAGCGAGACACACGCCCATATTTCTCTTGGAGGTGCTAGGCTGAACAAGAAACATGAGGACGCTCTCGCGATCAAAGGGTTTGCCCTCTGGTTGCCCATTCTTGGAAAACCAAGGAAGGGTTCTGAACAGAACATGCAAACACACACACACACACATATCGGTCCCCGCATCGCAATCTGATCGCAAGTCTGTTCCAAAAACCCTGTAACGATGGTAGAAATGTGGCCCGTAGAACAAACAGAAGGACCAAGCACATGTCATCGAGCCGCTTCGAAAGAAATGTTCTATGTGGTGAATGCCCGAAACATCGCAAGTGAGGCAACCACATCCCGCAAAACTCTGGCACTTGTTTATTCAGGTAAATTACAGGTTTCCCCTTGTTTCCCTTGCAATATTTGGGTGGCTTCCCTTCTCTTGAAACCAACCTCAAAAAGGGCACCGAACCTCCAACGAGACACACTCAACCCCATGTCAGCTTCCCTCGTGGCGGTTTCTGTTGGCGGTTCGGACCCAAAATTCGGGGTGCCTGTCCCATGTTTCCAAATGAATTGAGGTTCAAAGCACCCATCCAAACCACCAGTGGGTGGCCTGACCGAGCCGTAGGAAGGAGGTTCCCAATCAAAAACCACGAAAAGGTGACCGGCCTAATTACAGACCCTCAATCCAAACCACCAAAAGGTGGCATGAAACCAGCGTCTGAAATTCTCTCCCCAAAGGCCTGAGGAAGGCCAAGAAGTTCCCGGCCACCAGCAGGCTATGCAGCGCCACCACCTTCGGCGCCGCCCGGTGCAACAGCCTCGCCGCGGGCCGAGAAGGCTTGGGCCCAGGGCCAACTGGGCGCGGTGAAAGTGGGAAACACGAGCAACACCTCTTCTTCCAATTAATATTAAGCCCCCTGGAAAAAAAAGTTTTAAAAAAGGAGTGATCGATTCCTTTCAAAACCAATAATTAGGGGAAAATAAAAAGATGTTTAAACAAATGGAAGTCTTGGGGTTGACCGTGTTTTAGTGAATCCATTGAATAAGCACCAAAGGGTGTGGTTGAACTCCAGCGTCGAGCCTCTTAGGCTGGACGCAGTGGTGATCCAAATCCAAACCACCAACCCAAACCCTCAGCGGCCCGGGTGCGTACGACCGATACATTTTGAAGATGTGGCTCCCTTTTTGAACCTACAGCCAGAGGACACACTGCAAAACGGTCTCAGCACCCCCAGACAGAATGATTTGAGCCATAGACATGGCGTCTCCACAAAGGAACGGGACTTGGGTTCTTGCCACACGGGGATTTTGGTAGGTCTTAGGTGTTATTGATGACCATCCCCAACCCCAGTCGCGCACATGGATCCTGCTAAAGGTCATGAAGCACTGTGTGCGATGACGAGCAGTTGTTTGACCTCCACGTTATCTCAGCATGCTTACATCCAAAGCACAGCAGTGCTCATGCAAAGCCATGCGCCGTGGTCCACTGTGCCAAGGGCAACCACCGACTAACTATGGCAAGCCGCAGAGGTGTTTAAAACAGATCCATGGCCTCCCAAGCGCATGGTGACCTACAAGAAAGTCTCACGAGGTCTTCCACCACTTACAATGGAACATGTCCACGTTCAAGGGACAAGGTTTGGCCCGTGTTTGGCACCCGCTGTCTGTCTGCCTCCGCCAAGCCAAGAGTGCAAAAAACGGTGTCACACCTCTGCCAATGCCAATTCATGCTAATTCCCTTCACAGTCTCAAGGGTTGCGTTTCACATGTGAAACCACACAGCTGTGTTGTGAAAACACAAAAAAAAACCTGATATGCTCACGAGGCAAATCCCTCGGAATACAAATTCCTGGCACTCTCCAGCCGAGCAACGGAGAGCTTCCCTTTACTTGCCTGGCCTCTTGGCCAAACAGTGAGCCGGAGACTGGAGAATGGGGCTACCCAAAAAAGACGCCAAACAGTCTGCATTTTCTGGACCTTGTCGACCTTGAGGGCGGGGGCCGGGGCAGGGGTATCAATCAGGTTCAGTTATTACCCCACTTGTTGCAAGTCAAGATTCCAAACTCACCCCACTTCCTCACCGTCCTTTGAAGGCGTTGAAATAACAAGCAACCAAGACGTTCGGGATCCTCACTGAACTCAGACCTTGGTACTTTGATTTCAAGCCACTACAGTAGGAACCCTTCGCCGTGCTCCAAACAGTTTTGGAAGGGTGGTTCCTCTGGAGACTCAATCTACAATGACAAGCACATGGAGTTACTGGGTACGTTGGATCAAGAGTGAGTCCCCCCGCAGGATTTCACCATCAAAGGGAAACAACCCCAGTCCCAAACTCCAGCAGCCATGGGAACACCACCTTTCCTGTTGGTCGATTTGAAAGGGAACGCCCCTCCAGCATAAAAAGGGAAAAAGGAGCCACAGGGCAACTGGGACCGCGCAAACCCAAGGATCTTTGAGCACCCCGGCCAAGTCGCCAGTGGCGAGCCCTGTGACAAAAGGGGACCCCGTCCGACAGAAGCTGGCGGGGGGGTTGAAAAGATCCAATTCACAGGGGGAAACAAAAACACATGCCTTTACCACTCATGTTGTGTTGCTTCTGGTGCACAAAGATACCTCGAACAGGCACAAGAGTGCAAAGTGGCGCAAACCTTGGCAAAAAGGCGAAAAGTCCTGTCAGGCGAGGGAGCTTTGACAAGGTGAGCTAAATCAACACTTCTGAACAGTGCATCCCCTGTCGTTTCTTGGGATCACTCGATTAAACTTGAAGGGGGAGGTCAAATCTGAGTTGGCCCATTGCCCTCTTTCAGCCTCGTTGCCTCAATGTCCAGCCTAAAGTGGCCACATGCCACACTCCAATCCAAGCTATGAGCTTGAACTTCCGAGAGTCAGCACCTGCAATTTTGGTTTGAGATAGCACCAACCCAGCTGCCTTTGCTGTCCTTTGGGTACGGGAACTCTGACAAGGATCCTTTGGTCCCATCTCGGGCTGACAGCTGAAGCATGTGCACCGAGCACTCCGGATGGGCACCAGGTCGACCAATTGTGATCTTGGCGATACACACTTCCCGTTTTTTGCAGTACAAGCTTCAGGTCGCATCTATTCCTGTTGTTCATGTAGTGTGCCAGCGCCAAGTCATACCGTACCAAGAAACGGGGAAGTGCAAGGGCCGACTTTGGACAAAAACACAAATTACTCTTGGGATGGGGACCGCTGCCCACCCCCGGCCAAGGGCAAAAAGTAGATCCGAACGCCTGCCGTTCCAGCAGCTCTTGCCCCCGCCGGCCAAGCCAAGGAAGCAGTACCTAGCCGCCAAGCGGGAGAGATATGGGGACTGGCGAAATGAGAGGTAGGTCGTGTACTGTAAGTTCTTAAGTCCAATTCAAGCCATGATCGTAGAAAGGAACCTGTTTGCAACTACTTAGACCCTCATGCCAAGCGTTCCTACTCCGACTTTAAGTGAACCTTATGGAAACCAGCGCAAACATATACAAATAACAAGGTGTTGGGTCAACGGGGGGGGGGTTGCCGTGCCTCGAATGACGGCTTTTTGCAGCGATATCCTCCCACTTCAAGTGAGTGTTCAACTCAGCAAGCTTGACTCAAGAGTCCAATGCTTGAACCCCTGGATAAACCCCACAACCTGGTCTCATAGTTATAGGTTAAAATGAAAAGGGCGCTAAATATGGGTTAAAATTTGGCGGTCGGTGAAAAGCACTTGGCACGCGGAGCGGTTTGCCCTTTGAGAGAATTGACTGCCGCGCAAGTGTGGCTCGATGGAGGCGGTTTGGTATCCGGCCAGAGAAAACTGGCCACTCAGCCATGTGTACATCATTAGCGCTAGCAGGGAACTGCCTTTGGCCTAGCACATGGTGGGATTCGCGTTTGGCAAACGTTTTCAAGGTTTTCGGTGTCAACCTGGGCTGTAAAACTGGGGTTCATGCAGGAAACTTGCCACAAAATGTGCCCGAAAACCCCTATGAACCCCAAAAATCTGTGGCCGAAATCCCCTATGAACCCCAAAATCTGTGGCCGAAAACCCCTATGAACCCCAGCCCGGTGGCTATCTGTGGCTTAAAACCCTATAAACCCAAGCTTGTGGTTTGAAGACCGCGCGCCCCTTCAAAAGTTGCCAACACCAACTGTGACTTCGCCATTTTTGCAACATCTGAAGGTGCTCTGACTGGAAGCCGCTCCAGCGATTGATTATCCATCCCAGCGGTGGCTCTGCGGGGGCAATCCGCGTTGCAGGAATTGAGCCTTGAGGGGGGCTCTTGCGATGACAAAAGTGAGCTTCGGAATCAATCAAATCATGTATTTCTCTGTATTATCAGGGGTCCTTGCAAAATGGCCTTGGGAGACAGAAATCGGCGAAATCAAAGGTAAGCCTCAACCAGGCCTTAATTAAGGCCTAGCCAACGATGAACATTCCACAGGGGTTCAAACATAGTCCTTTTGATTGACAGTATTATCTTCATGCTGCCGCCTAGACTTCGCAAATGCAGCTACGATCGATTTGAGCCCAAAAAAGAAAACATGGGCATAACGACCGCAGCATGTGCTGCATAAAACAAAAAGAAGAGTTCCGGTAGTCCGACAACCACAAAAACTATGCCTTCGCAAGTCCGAGAATCAATCCCTCACAGCCACTTCTGCGGAGCTCATGTTAGTGTCACGAAATTACCCACCCACCCACCTCCCCCAGAACACCACGCTAACAACACAAGTACACATAGCTAAAGCAAGCCAGTGCCAATGCCCTGGAGCTAGCATGGTGAACTGAACAGCCTCTGTTTCTTTCATTTCTTCAGCCCGCAAGAGTGGCGTGGTAATGGTCGTGATTGCGTGTCATTGTCATGCTTGCATGAAACAACGAATCGCTCCAGCGAGAGAGTAGCCAGCAGCGGTACTCTTTTTCATCACATGTCCTCTGATGGGTGGGATCGTACCTGTTGGTCGATCTTTGAATCGCTGGAGCTGATGATGGTGTCTCGTGGACACCCATGAGTCGAAATAAAGTACTGCTAAAGGAATGCAAATCGAAAGACTGCAAACCAAAAGGTTGTACACAAAGGCATCAAAAATGAGGGGTCTCCCCGCTCCAACTACATTCGATGCGAAACATATTATTGGATCGATCAGGTGTATGCGTGAAATGGAGAGGGTGGGCGGGGAAGACTCATTTTCGCCAAAAACTTGATCGTTATGCAACACACACACACTGCAGAGTGTCAAATCATGCAATGTGCAATCGAGGTAGTCGCACTCGACTTCCAATTCAAGCACGGCAAGCAAATCACTTTCGCTAACTGCTGTTACTTTTAGTGTCAATCGCAACAACTTGACGACTTGTCTAGAGGTGTTTCCCAACATAGGAATCGGAACCCTTGAATGGCTTGTTTCCTCTTACTAGTAGCTTGCCTTTACCATCCAAAACGACTTCCATTTTGAGCCCCCAACCCTCCCCCACATGCAGGTTGGATCCCCATTGCGCGAAGCTAGTCCTATCTCAGAGGACACAGTGAAACGTTGCGCCCACGCGCCCAAGGACTCCACTCAATGGGCGGACTCTCCTCACCCTCAAATGGCTGCCTTCTCGTCTAAGATCAGACCTCATTGTAAGTGATTGCCTGCAAGGAAGGAATCCTCTATGGCCACAGCAGTTCAGGTGAAATCCATGAGCGAGATTAGCGCAATGCTGGCCCGGAAAGACAACGGATTTCCACAAATATGCCCAGGGCATAATGTCACATGGTGTCACCTGTCCACAGGCACGGCCTATTTACAAATGACCTGGCAAGTCATATCCGCAAATGTAATTGCTGACTGTCCTTAGCATCCTGCAGAGGAATGCGGGCCAAACGAAAGAGCCACATGAGAGTTCACTCGAAGCATAACATATTTCCTGGCAAGAGACAGACTGTTCTATTGTTTGTGAGGGCCATGAGCGCTTGCTCATTGTGATGTCCCCCCTGCCGTGCTGCGTTTCATGTGTTAACGGCTAAACGTTACTCCTGGGCAAGTTACTATATACATCATAGCTATAGCATAGCTTGGTTCACCAACCCGAAATAAGGAGCCCTTAATATTCATCGGCGCACCCACAACAGCAGGAAGCCGAACTTCTGAAGCTTTGTGAGCGCTTCCACCTTGCCTGGAACCAGGGCTGGGCAGGGCTCGAGGAATGATTCGACACGGGGATCCCGCATGAGAACCACACTTGTGAGTGATACCAAAGTGTGACTCCCCCCTATGACTAGTTCACTTGTTCACTTCAAAGGCAGGTTTGGGTTTGGCTTGATCCTGCTGGCTTTGCGTAGGTTGGGTCGATCGTTTTCTGGGGTTTGTATACCTTGCGAGTAGCAATACAGTGAGGCTTGGTTTCGAACGGGTGAAGAGTTGGCGCACCGTCCGTACGTTGTGGACTTGGGGTGGGATGGCTCGGGAAACGCTCAGTATCTGCAGTTGCTCAGACTAAAGAATGGGAGATTAGCTGCTAGTTGCCGGCGGCTCGCGCAGTACGAGTGGGATCTGACTTGGGGCCCAAAACCAGATAATGATGAAAAAGGGCGGCCTCACGGAGGACCAATTCAGGATTGGCCATGTCTGGATTTAGAACCACCTTTCCATAGCTGAAACCAGTCCTGTGCAGAGTTCTCAGAAGGAAGCTCTAGTCATAAGGGCTGGCCGAGGAGGCATGGACACTGGAGGTCCTGACCACTACCCCTCTGTCCAATCATAAAAAGGCAAAGGCTCCCTTCCACCAGGAAAATCGTCTTAAAGGGGTCTGTGCTCTAGACACGCGGGTTTTGGAAGACCATCCCTCGCAAGGCCCCTTGTCTTCCAAAATCACTGGAAAAGGGGTACACTAACTTGATCTAGCTTTCCAATCAGAACATAGTCTTCAGATCTGTGCACTTCCACTGAGATTGACTCTATCCAGGGTTCCATTTCATTTGACCTCAACTCAAACCCAGAAACCGGCCGCCAACTGAAACCTCGCCTCGCCAGGCGACCGCGCCATAGCGGAGGTTCTGCAAGCGGGCGCCAGGCCTGGGCCCAGAGGAACCTCCATCGACAAATGGTCCGAAACGACAAATGGGACCAACAAATGCCCATGGGTCAAAAGCCCAAATCGTACCCCCGGCCAACATCCCAATCCCCACTAAAATAGATTCCAAAATGGGTGGTGCACCTACCCCGAAATGGTATTGGTTTTGAACCATGGCCATGTGACATGTCCGTGAGGCTAAGATCCTAGGTCCAAAAATGGTTGCCTCGGTCCTCCAGATTTGACCATGGGTTCAGGCCTTTGGCACAGGGGTTCATAAAGCTTCGGACCGACCCCACTTCCCAAAACTAGGTCCTCCAGATTTGAGAGCTTAGACTAAGTTGGTAATTACCGTTTCTTTTTTCCTGTCTATTTTAGCGGAACCCTCAACCCAAAACAGGGGTGAGAAAGCACTACTCGGGGACCTGGTGAGAAAGCCTTGTGAGAAGAATCTCCGTGACGACTGAATATCAATATCTGTCCAATTCCCCTGGCCACCGACCTGGCCACTCACAGAACGCTGCCCTAAACCCCCTTCTCACAGCCATGACATGAATGCAGCCCCAAGTTACTAGAACTCCGTCTCTGGAAAAAAATATATACTGCCGCGCGAACTTGACGTAAAAGAAATGATCACACAGGCAAACCTGATGGTGTCTTTCTGTTCTTGGGGCATTCATCGTCTGACTTAGATAAGCTTGATTGCACGTGAACGTGTCGCGCTGGTCGGCTCTGAGAGGGCAGCACAAGGTGCATATTGAGTGACATTAATAATTACGATATGGTCGATAAGCACGAGATGCGACTGAAAACAAACACCATATGCTGCGCGTGAGTTGATTGCAGGATGCTGGATGTAACGTGTTGTTGTGACATGGTATGACAGGTGTTGGCGCAGTTCTCCGGCTGCAACAATTTCTCGGCAGTGCGTGTGCTTCTTTTCTGTGCTAAGGCACATGCTGTGACACAAAACATATACCACTGCTTGATGCCAATCATTTTGCTCGTCCCCTTTCCTCAAGAGCTCACCAATGGCGATTGCTGTCAGTCAACCGGGTTCAAACGAGACGCAAAAAGCAGCGCCCACACAGAAGCTCCAACAGCGAGCCATACATAAGCAGCTTCCACTTCCTGCTGTGGTTCGGCTTCTGCAGGACTGCTGCAGTTGCTTCCAGTTAGGCCATGGGACATGATGTCATTTTAGCCTCAGCATGCATTCAACAGCTTTCATGCAGTTCCTACTGCTGGATTGGTCACAAGCACGTGAGCGCATTGATTGCCGCACTGCAAAAAATCAGCATCATAGGTACAAGGAATACGGCTGAGTAGAGGATCAAGGAACTACTGTGTCAAGTTTAACGCAAAGCTGCATAGCTGCCATTGCCAAACACACATTCCCCGACTGGCGAACTGACGTAGGCTCGTCAATCCACACCGTGTACCTTGGCATGCCGAACATCCAGGAACGCAAACAACCTGTGGATGGAAACGTTCATGACAACATCATGTTTGGAATTCTGTTCACATGCCACATGGGTGTATCCTCTTGGGTGCTTGCAACAAACAATCAAACGAGGGCACTATCAAGAAACAAGCACACCCAAATTATTGGCTGAGCACATTGCGTATGACTGACTTCTAAGTTACTCATAAGATCTAGTTCATCGATATGCATACTAATGTATACATATACAGAGAGAGAGAGAGAGAGAGACAAAAAGATGGATCTAAGAACTGTTGGAGCATCGGGCACACTATCTGTGCCTCATTGCTATCAGTGGAGGAGAGAGTCTGCTATGCAGTCGGATCTTTGAACGAAAGCACGCAAGGCGAAACCAAGGAAACCGATTCGGCACTTCCGTCCTAATCTCCGGGGACCGCGCATAAACGGGGTTCCAACAAGCGAGTTCCACCTTTGCACCAAAGGCCGATCATGTGTGATCCTGGTGTTTGTTCTATTATGAGACCCACTCTTTACAGGCCTCTTACTGGCCCTCTTGATAATCTTCGTTGTAAGTCCAACATATCTTGCAGGACTTCTTGCTGACTTCTTGTGTTTTAATACTGTGTGTTTAAGACTTTTCTCTGTAGGACAAATCATGTAGTTCGAAGGTTTAGCAGCTTGACCAAAGAAACACAATCTTAACAGTTTGCGGCCCAAACACAGCCGTGCCAAGAAAACAGTGCGCACCTCGACACATCGCATAAACATGCTGTAGAAAAGCTGGACTCCCCATTGGGATATCTTTGGGCTGCCCCTTGCTACCTCGCGTCCAACTCTGACAGCATGCAGCCACACATCCCCAAAGCAAACAACCCAGACGCACACCACATCTACATTCAAGGACTGCGCAAGCTCGTCAAGTCAGTTACACGCCCGCCAGCCATCAATTTTGGCACCAGCAACTGGGGCCATGCACCTAGTACCAGATGTCCATTGAACCATGAAGCCTTGGGGATAGATCAGCCTTTGAAGGTGGATGCCAAACGGATATTCATGCTTGGTGTTTGCATAAACTTAGATTGGGGGACCTTTGGCGATCATGATGTACCGCCTTTGTGTTCACCTTCTGTTCCATATAAAGTCATACTCTGAACACCCTGAAAGGAAAGTTGGTCAAGCAGGTGGTACTGTGGATGGACGAAATCCAATTCGCACCACCGAAAGAAAAACAAAAAAACATGGTTGAAACCACATTGTTGGTGTTTTCCTTGGGGAATCGAATCAGACACCCGGGGATACCCGGGGTTTCTGAACCGTGGTGCAAGTTTCGTCCATCCACAGCATGGCAAAAGGTCAAAGGAAAAGCCCCGCTGCGCCAGGGCCCCAGCCAGGGCTCGGGTCTAAGGTTCCAGCCTCCAAAGGGCCACCTGCAGCAGGGCATCCAGCTCCGGTGCGAAGCGCTCCGGCCTCAGGGCAACGAGCCTCACTCCAAGTACCAAGACGGAAAACCTGGCATTTTGAAATATGACATAGTTAGAACAAAAAACAAAAAAAAACAACAGCTGGGACTACATGCCACATCAGCACCCAGATGCCACACTCGAACATGATGCCAACAAAGGCAAACAAAAGCGAGCTCGGGTTCAAGCTTATATTATAATATATATATATATGTATATACACATATGGTTTTATGTACACCCCTGGCTCCAAAAGTACAGACATGTCCGCATAATTCCGAAACGAAAGAAGTCAACATGGTCTGTCTCGGGTGAAAAGTTTATATATACTTTTTCCAAAAGAGCACTACATGCACTTGTTTGTTGAGAATTGACAGAATCGTCTTTTGCAGGCCCTGTGTGTGTTTGTGGTGTTGCTGTTCGAGCTTGCACTGTTTGCCACATATATAAGGCCCTCAGACTTAATTTCCCTGCAGTCTCTTGCCCGTGTTTTCGACTTTAGTCTTCTGAGCCAACATGCACAACCGGAATATGCACAGAACTTCGGGACACATACAAACATCCGCAACCATTTGCCTGGAGTGAATTGCCCACATTGACTTGGGTGTGGGACCCACGAGCTTGACAAGCACAGCGCTGGAGGTTCTAGCTATGCTCATGGTTTTGACTTTTTCAAGGTCACCTTGCAAGAGGACTTTCGCTTAAATGTATAGATTTCACGTACATGCACGGGATTTTGTGGATATTTGCCAAAAAAGTGCCCTTGGCTCATCCAGGCGTAAAGCTCGTTACCCTTGTCCTATTGGTTGAAAGGGAACTCACAAACAGAGCCACCATTCTTGCCTCCGCCCCGTTGACACAGTGACACATACCCGTAGTATCATATTCATTTTCGGCGCTTTGAACATGCCGTCCTCTCTTTCATTTCACGCCCACCTATCCAGGACGGCAACCCCCTTCAAGCTCACACCATCCGCAAAGCTTTAAAAAACCATCCAATAGCTCAACATGCCTACTGCAGTCACCAGTTGGCTGCTGAGTTCTCGGATGAATAACCCCCTGGTTGATATTCATGGGGCAGCTGCTTCACTATTGGCAGATAAACCCCGTTCATCTAGATGAACAATGATCATAATACAATGACAATACTGTTTTCTCAAGTAGTAGTTCACCAACCTGAACAAAAAAGGCAACCTTGTTCGTCGGGGTCGCAAACCAAACCCCTTTTCCTGTGCTCGCTTTCTTTTCCTGTGAGTCCCATCGATTTTTGGGCCCCAGCCACTCGGCCAGCGAGGCCTCTTGCAGCTGCTGCCTGGCACGGCCCTTTCAACGGGCTGAGCCATTTGGTCGTGGGTCAAAACCTGTGCCAAAAATGGGGATGGTTACCACTCCACTGTTGTCTCTTCTTAGAAGGCTGTCTGGGTGTAAACCCCGGGGCAAAAAGGGGTTTTGGCCCATAGCCATTTGTTCAACCGGGTAGCTTTGGTGAGACAATCGCAAGCAGACCTCCCCCAAACAAGTCCACCTTAAGAGGATTGTCATTGAACCCTGTAAGCCCAAGGCTTTCCTTGAATGCCGCCAGCAGGCAGCATGCGGACAAAGCAACGGATAGTTTGGAGCACACCTCGAAAGGCCCAAACCGTAATCCAACAGAACTGCCATATCCCTCAGAACCCAAGCATCACTTGCTAAGCTCCAGCAAGGTCACAAGAAGCTGTTGCTAAGCCCATCTTCTGAACACGTGCGAAAGCTGCTTCTGCACACTTGAGCAAGCGACAAATGCAGATAATTCTTACGAGATGCGCATGAAAGCCTAGTACCTACGCTGCGCTGCACTCTGCACTGTGAGCATGCCCCTCAACTCTGCCTTGGATCTACAGCACACATCCGGCAGCATTCCATGCGACCATAGCTACAACTGACACACGCAACGACGACGCATTCCGTTTGCAGCAGGCCAAGTACAAGTGCAGCAAGTACAGAAGAACACTTATAACAGAAAAGGTGCTCGGTGAAAGATCATCTTTCTGCTGGCATTCTTGCAAAACGGACGCAAGAAAGCTAGAGATCGGGTTATTCAAGCTGCAAGGACCTTCGCAGCCGCTTGCAGCAGCCGGGAAATCAACGTGGGCTGTCAATTTACTCGTGGGACGCCCCAGGCTTTGAGGGATAATAGGAAAGGCGGGCGTGAATGGATGGATTTGAAAGAAAGCCGTGAACATAATTGTCCAATCCTAACAACCTCTTGCAAGTTCGCGCCACAGCGATGCAACGCTTGAAGCCAGCAACTGAAGTGAATGCTAGACACAGACTGCGGCCTAGACTGAATCCCCACAGCCTGCCTGCTTCGAAAGCATAAACATGTGTAAAGGCCGGTTTCCTATTGCCCAGAAATGAGCCGGTCAGGGTTACATCTTGCAACGGCACCGTGCGCCCAGGCATTGGCATCCCTCCAGCCTGAGGATCGACGTGATCTCGCCATCTAGCTGCCTCGACGCAGACAGGCCGCATGATTGAACTCACAGGTGCGCCCCATGCTCAACGCTCCTTGTTCCTCGGAGGTTCGTCACGGCTACCTGACTGGCCTTCCGTTCCAGGAATGCTTGCAATATGTCTTCTTAGCCGAAGGGAACTATGCAGGTACATTATCCAACACAAATACCCGCGCCACAACTCCCTTCCAGCAATTCAATAGAGGCTTGCGGCCTGATTTGGCACGACAGAGTCATCGTTTAGTTCACCAGGCTCACCTAGGCAACAAATAAAGGATCGTTGACCACCTAGCACCACTAGCGTGCTTTCGGAATGCTTGCGGAATCGAATCAGTTATTTAATCACCTGCAACGATCATTTGCACACCTCAGGGCAAAAAGGTATGTTGGGGTGGGCGGTGGGTGAGCGTTGTGGCAGCGTGAGGCTGGCACCCGCCGCACGTTGTTTATTGCAAACATCAATAGGAACCAAGCGGAATGGGTTTGTGTAAACCTCCAAACTGGTTGGTGTCCTTTCGGTTCCCCTTGCAGCAACCCTGAAGGGGTACCTTAACACAACACAGCACGACAATGAATCGGTCGGGGCTGAACCGCTTGTGTTGGAACATTCACCTTTTGCTGCAACCTGCTCATGAGATTGGGGTTTGAGGCACGCCTTGCAGTCGTGCCACAAGCAGTACAGTCCACTACTTCCCCACAAGACCAAGAAACCGAAGCGACGGGAGTGGGAATTTGGATTCGGCCCCACACGGGCCACCTCACGGCCCGGCCGGCGCCCCGTCGCCTGGCGTCCAGCTGATTCACCCGCAGCACCTGCACCTACGTGTCGGAAGCTGGCGGGCCAAAGGGAAGCGGTCTGAACCTCTTCGGGGGGAGCAGGCCCCCTGCTGGTTTCCTACGGCTGGCGCAAGAACCACTTCTTGGTCCAAGTTCACGGGAGATTTCCAACCAACATGTGGACACGATTGGACACGGCTAACATAGGGAGGGAAGTTTTGGAGGACGGCTGTCATTGGTGGCAAACAACCGTACAAGGTGATGTCTAAGCAACCCAAAGGAAGGCCATCGTCTCTGGATGGAAGCTTCTAAAGTCACTAAGGAAGAACCTGGCAAGCCTGGACACAGCCTGGCCTTGTCTGAGGCGACAAGCACACGACAGCTGCCCACAGCAGGGCCAAAAGGCCAGCGAAGTGATTGGCCCCTCACTAATACCCGTGGTTGTTGATTCCCCTTCAAATCTTGTCCACAAATATGAAGTAAGCTTCGTGAAAAACGATCTGTGTACTGGTTTCAATTCCTCCGTGCATGTTGTACCCGGCGTTTTCTGGAAAGTGCCTCTTGCTGAAGAACCCTTCAGCGTGCCGAGAGAAAGGAATCAACACGGAGCATGAGAACATGATCAACATAGTCTACTCAAAACCATGTAAAGCATCACAAGGCGCATGTATCCGACCCTATATTTCTGGCTGGACTGTCCCTTAGCCTTCATCTACCCAGGGTTTGCGCAAGTGGCTTACAGCCGCATGGCACCCCTGGGCTTCCATCCCTGTCGCCTCGCTTGCCGCGGTCCGGAGCCTCAGTCGTTCGTTGATCCCTCACTAAAAGTAAAACCGTTGTCCCGGGCACTCCGTGAACTCCCTTTTCGTTGGTCTTGAAAACGAAACCAAAAGGAGATCGGCCACTTTGGACCATATGGAACCAAAATTTCCGAACCCCGACTTGCGCCATTGGGTTGGGGGGCTCAAAGGAACCCAAATTGGAGGCCAAGTTTCATCCGGCCCGGGCTCAGTGGGATATGTCACAAATCCGCACCTTGAAGCCGCCTTGATTTCCACCAAAGGTGTTTGAATAGTTGCTGAGCAGCACCTTCTGCCAAACAACGCCAATCAAACACCTTGGGACCCGTGCGACTTCCCAATCCTCCTATTTTGAGTTGCTCCACATGCGAATAAGCATTATCCTTCAGTCGAAACGTATGAATCCAAACGTTCTCGCCGCGATATCAGGTTGAATCATCGAAACACCAAGCGACAATGCCAGGCAAGAGTAAAGCTGCACATGGACAGTCCCACCTTTGGAACCAAATTTATTGACTGCACCTTAAGGATCCCTAAGGCAAATGATGCCTAGGCCTACGCCAAAGGGCCCAGAATATCCTCTGGATGAATGGATTTGCCGAAGCCTTTTGGAACACACAAAACTGAAATGAACAAACACCAACATCTTTCGAGCGCAAAGAGTATCTCTAAAACAGCGGCAAAGGTGTTCTCTAAAACATGGGGGCTGAATTCTGAACCCCGCAAAACCCACTGAGCGCGTGTCCTTTCCATCAGTCATCGCTCCATGGGTCTTCGGTAATTTCCAGCGGGACGCTAGCCTGTTCACCCCATACCGCACAGCTCATTGGAGTCATTCACAGCTGGTGACCGTCCAATGGAACAGGCTCTTGAAGTCTTAAAGTTCAGAGGTCTCAACATGGAGCCTCTGATGAAGCCAAAGCGTAGCGCTACGTTTGACCGAATCTATCCCAAATAGGTCCTTGCCTGCGATCACTGCTTTGAGTCCGAGCCATGCTTGTAAACATGTTGCGCAAAAAGCGGCAATCCATGTTGCTTGACGGGATAGTACCGATAATTAACCAGGTTGATGCCAACTGAACTGGGAATCTAAGGTCGCTGAATGTTGAGCCACGGCGCTCGCTCGGTCGCAAGGAGGTCGCATGCAAACATGGGAATTCGCGTTGGAGATTCGTTTGGTCTCCGATGGCAACCCTGGGCATTGCTGTCACTGTCCAGGCTCACTTCATTCTTCAGACGTAACTCCAGGAATCTTCCCTTGGAACACATTTACGCCGCGCGAACGCAAACGCAGGTTAATAAATCCATCTTCTCCCCCGCCCCAATCCTCCAGATCATGTGACGGGGCCCTGTTCTTCCAGCATCCGACCGGTTCGTGTTGACACTCTCTTCGCCTTTTGGTTTCGGTGTCAACAAGGTTGCGCTCATGCGCCAACTTTTGCACACCTGCCGTCAACGGAGCTAGCCGGGCTACCGCTTCTTTGGAGGACCTGGTGGGATCTTGGCTCTCTTCAAGAGCCAACACCTGGCCGAGCTCGAAACCCGGATGGATGAGGCCCTGTGACCGGCTGATAAACCACCCACTCTCGGTTGCGTTCTGCTCCCCTGCCAAAGGTTTAACTTGTGGTTCAATGGAAAACCCAGTTGGCAAAAAGTTAAAGTCCTAACAGCCAAGCAACATGCACCAGAGCACTGGTGCAGGAGTTGGCCACCAGGATTCAGCCCCTGCCCTCAGACTCCAAGGCAAGCTAAGGCCTTCGGGGGTCGGCCGGGTTTGACTCTTATGATCTTGTCTCAAGGATTTCATCCACAAGCGACGGGGGAAAGGGTGGGGGGGGGGCGGGGGGTCGGGGGGTTGGGGGGGGGGACCTTTGCCTGTCTTGTTCTCAGTGGAAGCATCTGGAAACTCCTGCTCGATGATCAAAAGGGATTCTGCAAGCTTCCGCGCTATCATGGCTCGTTTTGAAACTTGAAGAACAGTACCTAGCCTATCAAAGCTCAATCGAACAGCGGCATCATGGTAACAACCATGGCTAGGCTTTCAAGCTTCCTCCAGATGATCCCTCTATGCAGGAGAAAAAGCAACTTCTTCCCACCAAATGTCGCACGAAACCTTGGGCTCATACTGTCTCAGTGGTATCTTGACAAGTAAAAGGCATTGTTGGAGAAAGTCGGTCGGTGGAACGCACACAGGATATCACAGGGATGCCTTGTAGGCCGTTGTATAGCAGTGCCCAGCGTATCCTAGAACGACGCCTTTGTGCACACAAGGCATAAAAACATGATTGCGCAGGCTTAACAAACCATTTGTCCACGGCTTGACTGGCTACGGTGTTGCATGCTGGCAGGGATCAAGCGTGCCTGATGACGGATCCTGAACAATGCAGAACCAACCTGACTCTGAAGTACTGCTAGCAGAGGGACCTCCCCTTCAGGCTTCGCTGCACTTAGCCAACTGGGTATTTTTGTGATGGTACTCCTTTTGGCTCAAAGGGACCCACACTGGAACCACCCACTTTGCAGCACCCCCATTTGGTGTTTCTCGAGACAGTCGTTCCCCTAAAACAGTTGGTCTCTTGCGAAATTCCCTTTAACCAACCCACAAAAGGGGCCCACCATGTTGGGTGCGTGTTTCGTGGGGTGCCCTTTTTTGTCGTGGCTCCCTCAAGCAGGGGGTATTCATCTCTCCGCCTGTCTGCTTGCAGCCAGCTGAGCAGCAGCGTCACGGTGTCGGAGCGGGGGCCACGGCTGTGACTGGCGCAAGGGGGTCGCCGTGAAATCAGTGTAAAGGATTTATGGGGTGAATTGGCCCAGTGGATCACAGTTCTCCCTATAGTAGGTAACCCAGTGGATAGTAGGTAACCAACAATTCGGGTTAAAAAAGGTGGCAAGCCCTTGGGTACCACTGGCTGCACTAGGTGGATTCAAAAGATTGTGGGGTTAATTCAGCACCCCCCAACAACAGCTTTTAACCCCATGTCCAAAATTGCAAGGACTCTCCAAAATGCAGTTGCTGTGGGGGGGGGGGGGGGGGGCGGTGCTGGATTAGGGTTTATTGCTTCTCTTTGGGTTCAGGGCTTAAGACCGTGTAACAGGATTTACCCAGAGGCTCCCGATTGATTTAGGGCCCTCAAACATGGTGTTCCGGCCCCCAAACACCTTCGGTGTGTCCAATGGAGGGGTCTGGGTCTTCCACTGAAAGTTGCAGGCGCCTCTGATAGATTTGCGCCTTCGAGCAGCCCGAAACACGGTTGGGCAAACAAAGAAGCGAGCACTGCGTGCGAGCGGGGCCGGCTTTGGCTGCAGATTCCCCCGTCTTACCGGCTCCTCCCAAAACGTGGCCCCAGCCATTCCTTTCCCTGTGCCTGCTTCTGGCTTCTTTGTTTCTCTTTGAGTTTTGGGAGTCGGGGCTCGTTTACTTTGGCACTTGGAACTTGGAATCGTGAGGAACCCCATTTGGGCGCATTAGCCCAAATTATCCAAATACGCAGGGTTTGCGCGGCCACGATAAAGCAGATCCAAAACGCAGCCGTGTGAAGTCAGGTGACCCCGCGCTCGTGGCAAAAATAAAGTATATCCCGCCTGGGATTGTAATCGAAGCTCACCTGGACGCCCTTCAACTCTGGCATCTGCGCGAGACGGGGTGCGCTTGGCACGCGGGTGAAACACACAACTTAAGATTGCCATGTCCACATATGTTGGCCCCCCCCGGTTTTGGGCTCAGAACGAAAGGGTCTTGTATCAAAGTGAGCGAGTCGTTGTCATGCCAACACATTGCACATTGCGTAGGAGTATATAGCATCATCTTCCTGGATCTTACACGTACACTTGTTTTTTCCGTTCGGAAACAAAAGCGTTCGTTTTTGCAAAAACCATATTGATCGCTTCCCGCAATACGGAAAGAACGAGGGACAGCTAAAAAGCCCGTTTGCGCGAAATTGACTTTCACACCTTTGTGCACGAGGCCCCCCAAAAAAGCTCTTGTTTCCAATAAAACGCGAGTTTCCTCCAAATGGCAGTTTGCCGAAACGAATCTGTTTGGGAACCCAAAAAAATGCTAAACACACACTTAGGTTGTATTATCATCTCATACAGGGCAGTATGCCGGAAGTAAAACAGCGATGCCTCCGCGAAGAAAAAACAAGTGCCACAGATCCAACCCGAACCGACCAAACGTGTCCAGCTTCAGTATGGCCCCTGTCAGTACCAAAGGATAGTTGACTCTGGTACAACCCCTAAAGAAATGACATTAAAATACGGAGTACTGTTCCTAGGCGGGATGTCTCTATCTGTTGGCAGTCTCTTGGACACGTAAAGCACAAGAACTGCATGTCATGCAATTCCAATGGGCCAAGCAGCCTCTCGCGTGTTCTGCCCTTGGAAGGACTTTGGCAAGGCTTGCCGCGGGAAGAACACGTCCTGGCACTGGGAATGGCATGCATAGCTAGTGTCTCCCCAAACAAACAGTACATCAGTGCCTTTGTCTGCTCACAGAAGCCGCCTAATCTGAGCTTAACAAAAGCCCCTAAGACGAGTAAGGACCCGTTCAACGATCCAGGGGTGTTTTTCTAGCCCATTGGATTCCTCTCCACTTCGTGTTTGAAGTTCAGCAGCCTGGCTTGGCTCTTTCAAGTGGACCTGAAGTCAATTTTCGTGAAAAGGCAATGGCTCCTCGTGGCCAAAATATACCCCACGCCACACAGCCCGAAGGGCCGCTGATCTGTGGAGCGAAGCTGCCGAAAGTCCCACATGCTTCTTTTTGCTTGTTCGGAGTAAATGACAAATTCACTCAACAAAATAAATCCAAGAGCACCAAATGAAGATATAACACAAGCCAAACTCCTGGTGCAAACCAACTCTGTCCAGAGCGTCAGGTCTGCGCCACACCCCAAAACGATTTGCCAACGTGGCAAACCATTCCCGTCGCTAGACGACTCTCTCATTTGAGGGATTGAACCCTTGGCCGCCCGAATGGGTGCCGCGAGCCTTCGGGCAAATAACACGAACCCGAGGGGTGCTGGATTGGATTTAGAGCTGGTTGGATTTAGGGTTTATTGGATGTTGCTTTTCTTTAGGTTAAGGGTTTAATAACAGGATTCACCCAGAGGCTCCCGATTGATTCAGGGCCCTCAAAACAGCCTGGTTTTCAGACCCAAAGCCGAAGCCAGGAGCCTCCAGGAAGGCGACAAAATCGGGACTTGGGAGAACCCTTGGCAACTGGTGTCCCAAACTACAACTTTCCAGCAAGCGGGTTTCTTCATAGGTGGTTGTTTGGCGGGGGGGGGGCGTGTCCCACCAGTTTTGAATGCCTGGAGATTCTATCACGCATAGATTTCTGGGCGTACTAAGTGGGTACGATTGGAGAAAAAGACATGTCCGGCACGAACCGCAGGAAAACTACAAGTAGTCCCAAGACGGGCAACGGTGCTGCAGGCCCAAGCCGAATGGGGGAGATTTGAGCCAACAACATCTGGGATTTGTGCTCGCTTGCGAATATTGTGCGGAAATGTGTGTTCGTTGTGCGGCCACAAGTGATGCGAACGAAAAAAACACTTTCTCGCCAGAAACACATGGTTGCCCTGATTTGCGCACCACTCCCGCACACAGCTAGGATTGAAAGGGTTTATGAGGGAAGGGGTGGGCAACATCAAACCTAATACGAGAGAAAGCCACGTGCAACAAGGAAACACCCAACGATTCCAATTTCTATGTGCTTTGTCGTTCTGTGGTGAAAGTGGTACGAGAGAGGCAAAAGTCATACGATGACCAAAATGCCCATTGTCGTTCTTCTGCAGGTGCAAATGAGCCGGTTCTTCAATTGGGTTTTCAACAGCCTATTTCGCAGCATACAAAAACACACCTGCTTCATGTCGGATAGCGATTAGATGGAGAGGCAACTCCAACAAGCTTTCCCACAATTACTTCCCCCTGAAGAGATAAAGGGGTAGGAAATACAGAAAAGTTGGTTTGACCCCGACCCCCAAGAAGACAGTACCAAGCAGTACTGGACAAGCACACCGCACAATACCAGCAAGCAATACCAAAACAATTCAACACCAATACCAAGCAGTACCTTGCTGAGAGGTAAGGTTGGGGTTGGGTAGGGGGGAGGCTCTTTACTAATCACCTGCCCACAGTACGAGTGATACGGGGAGCCTCTAAATAATCAGGTGATCTTTGAACTTTCCCAAACGAGTCTGTCCTGTTTAAAAAGTGCCCTTTTTGGGTTGGTTGAAGAGGCAGTTCCAAGGGACTTCGCCCCGTTTGTAGACACACCCATTTTTTCTTAACATACAATGCTGACCCCCATGATTCCGGGGGGTGCGGACCCCTCCAAAAGTGGTCTGATTCCAACCACTAAACCCAAGGCGAAAGCACCCCTCTATTAATAGACGGGAATTGATTCATCCGTGGTCGGCACCCGCACCCGCGGCGAATGGCTCGAGTCGAATGGCTCGCTTGAGCCTCCTCCAGGCCCTCGCAGCGGATGAAGCCGTAGCCCTTGCCTGCGTCATAGTCCCGGATGATGCCCAGTGGCTGCACCCTGAGAAACGTGAGCAACACGTTTCTTGATCCCAGGCGCGCAATCGCGCGAGGAATGCATGTCTTCAGCTCGTGGCTTTTTTGTTTGCTGTCCAATTGGTGGTTTCATGGGTTTCTTCCCTGGCAATCCCAATCCCGAGGGGTAGCTAAAATCATCCCATTTGGTAAACTCAGTTGAGATTGAGGAATCCATCCGAAGAATCCGAACGGAAAGCTCCGCACCATCCGACTTGAGCAAGAATGATCCCAAAGCGAAAGGAGATTTGATACAGCACCCTTTCGCTGGGCTTTTTCGAAAAGGAATTCTATAGCAAAATGTCCCGTGGACGATTCCCTTGGACCACTTCTGGCATAGGTCCCGAAGCTTCCAGGATCGCTGTAGCGACGAGGCTTGATCTTTAGAGTTCACATGGGAAATCCAACCACACCGCAGGTTTTCATGTTTCCATTTGCCAAGGTGCCACATGGTTTCCCCCGGTCAGATCTTGTCACTTAATCTTCAGAGGTCAAGTGCCCTTTTGGGGTTGACCGTTCCTAGAGTCACCATCAGCTGATATTGAAGCGGCCTACCGAAACCAAGAGGTCCTTGTGCCGAGTAATCAATTGGCCGAAGGTACGGCCAGCGCACATTTGGAGATTACAACCAGGAAAACGCTCGAGAAATCATTCCACAACTCGGCCTACATGTGCAACCTGACTGTTTCTCACCAGGAATCTCTCTCAAAAACAGCGTCCCCAAACAGGTAGCCTCCAGAAACACATGGCCATGGGTCAAAATCCAAATCGTACCCCTAGTGAACATCCAATCCCCACCAAAATAGGTTCTAAAATGGGTGAATTCACCTATACCAAAATGGGATCCCATTGGTTTTGACCCGACGGCCACGTGGCCCATTTTCTGAGCCCAGAGATCCGGATCAGAGGGACGGATCGCTTGATTGCTCCAAGCTCCACGCCCGGGGCCCAGCGGGATGGAGGGCTCGTTGGGATCCACCTCCAGCTCCCCCTGCCGGCGCCGGCCGTGCGCTCGGTTGAGCGGTTGAGCGGTTGGGTTTCTTTGCAGAGCGACTGAACGGCGGGGTTTCCGCCTGACTGGAGCCAGCGTTCCCGGATTCCCTCCCTGCAACACACAAGAATATTTCAATGGATGGAAACCGGGCCACTTTCTCAGTCTGTGGCATGGGGAACACTGGACATGGACTTGGACAAGACCCCCCCCCCCGGCCAGAAAGAAAATGACGGAACATGGCAGGGTGATGCAGCTTTTGTGAAACTTCCCACGCTTCCAGGTCGGCGCCAGAGCGAGCTTGCACATCAAAGCAAGATCCAGTGGCCGGTCGTGTCGGCTACGTATGAGAGCTTGCAAATCACCAACAACAAGGCTCAAGTTGGCCAACAAGGCTGTGTGATTTCGGGTGCTGTCTCCAAAGGACAACCCTAGAAAATGCCATCGGTTGTCGGGCGCACTCTTTTTGGAAAAAGCAAACTCGACAACTAAAACCCCGATGTTGATACTTGCCCCACATGGGTTTGTCTCAATTAGGTGGCTAGTGGTTGGCTTCTGTCAATGTCTTACTCTCCTGGCCTCAAGTCGATCCTCCGGGAAGTCGTCAAGCATATCCCGCTCGTCATCTCGTTGATCATCAGGAAGCTCCTCCAGATTTTGCAGCAGGGCAACGGGGGCCGTACAGGGTTGTCTTTTTGAAGGCAACAAAAGCGGGCGGCCACCCCCAACAAATCAGCTGACCATCCTCTTGGGGGATCCCCAAACCAATGCCGACCTATATCCATCAGATCGAAGACTGCATCATGCCCTTGAGTGGTGCGCGTCTGGAGGGCCATGAACTTCAAATCACAGTTCCTACAAATTGCCAGAAAGGCTGTCCTGCAATTGGACAAATGTAACTCCAACCTACAAAGCACACAGCGAAACGACAAAACACGAAGTCCACGCAAAAGCAACAATTACGTCGGCACGAAATCGAAGCCACGCGCGGGGAAACCGAACTGCGCACTCCAGAGCCGCCAATCCATCAGCTTAGCAGGAGGATGTCAGCCACTTACCTTGGGTGCTCATCTAGGTCCTCCAGTAGAGAGGTTAGAATAAGGGCACCCTTGTTTCTGTAGTCCATTTTAGGGCAACCCTTCCAAAAGGGCACTACCGAGGGACCTAGACTGGCGATTTTGACCGAGCCTCTCATCCTGGCACAATTAGCTCCCGCCTCGATCGGCTCATCGACCTCGGTTCGGGTCTTCCCCCAAACGCTTTGAGCCGCTGGGAATGGAAATCAAGGCTGTTGAAAGGCCAAGAAAACCACTAAGACACCTGGTCCAAAGCCCTCCAGTTGGCGTTAAGTCGGGATGTCCAATCGACACAGACAAGGAGTTGCGCAGCCGGTCTAGGTCTGCCAGCGAACTCTGGCTAGCCAATTCCGAGACCGGCAAACTCTGGCAGCCAATGAGAGACCTGGTACCCACATGTCTGCTGCTGAACAGCCTGTTACATGGGGAGCCAAGCAGGCACCTGTTCTTGTCTACTAGGCGACAAGTGTCTCTTCAACTTAGTTGAATTGATCACATGCACATGCATTGCATGCTTTGCCTTTCTTCGCCATCGTCATTGTCTCGTTCTCAAACAATCATAGACAAGGGGCCTTTTCGAGAGGATTGCAGTCTTTGAAAACGCTCCTGCCACTTCCGATAATGGCTGCAAAACAGGACACCTGTTTCTTGACAGCCCCATCGCTCGCCCGATTCGCAAACTTGCGAAGAACCCTGCGCCTCGTTGGGCGAGTCATGGGGCGAGTTCGGCGGCGAGTCCTGACATGAGCCGGCAAGAGACTCCCTTCAGAACGAGTCATTGGCGGCCTTGAACAGTCATAAACATCCGATCTCTGTACTTAACTGCCGGACTCAATGTGAAACATTGCTCGCACCCAGCCGGCTACAGAAACGGGAAACAGAAAGCATCCCAAGCCGTAGTTGCTGCTTGTTTGATGCTCTGAGCTTCTCTCGAAGAACTCTCTAAGAAGCAAGCGCAGCTATCCAATGCTGGCCCATTCTACAAAGCTCGCCAGGTGGCATGGACCTTGCAGGGGTCAGGGGGTGCGGTTCATCCCAGGACTCACAAAGGATGCCCTGAAATCAAGGTATGGGAAACGTAGCTGATGTACACAGCCAGTGCGATGCTTCTCCCAAATGTGGCAACTCCAACAAACCAACTTGCCGCCAAAGAGACCCGCGCAGATCAGACAGAGAGGACACAGGAGCAATACTCCAAAGAGCAACGTCAATCAGCATAAATTGAAAACCACCGTAATGCTTAAGGTGAAAGGTTTTTGCCGTGCCAAAAAGGGGTGACGCAAAGGGGTGGCACGGAGCGTGGCAGAAAATTGTGCCGGCAAAAAGGGGTGGCAAGAAATTGCGGCTACCCCCGTTTTGGCCGGCAAAAAGGAATGGCAGAAAATTGCGCTACCCCCGTGTTGGCCGGCAAAGAGGGGTGGCAAGAAATTGCGGCTACCCCCATTTTGGCTGCAAAAAGGGATGGTATAAAATTACGCTACCCCCGTTTTGGCTGGCAAAAAGGGGTCGCAGAAAATTGTGCTACCCCGCTTTGGCCGGTAAAAAGGGGTGGCAAACAGTTGCGCCGAGGAGTTGGAGTGGAGTTGGAGTAGGGTTGGAGTTGGAGTGGAGGCTGAGTGGAGTCGGAGTGGAGCTGTAATGGAGTTTGAGTGGAGTTGAAGTGGAGCTGGAGTGCAGTGGAGTTGGAGTGCGGTTGGAGTGGAGTTGAAGTGGAATTGGCGTTGGAGTGGAGTGGAGTCGAAGTGGAGTTGGAGTGGAGGTTGAGTGGAGTTGAAGTGGAGTTGGAGTGGAGTGGAGTCGGACTAGGGTTGGAGTGGAGTTGAAGTGGAATTGGAGTTGGGTTGGAGTGGAGTTTGAGTGGAGCCGGAGTGGACTTGCAATGGAGTCGGAGTGGAGTTGAAGTGGAGCTGGAGTGGAGTCTAGTTGGAGTGGCGTTGGAGTGGAGTTGGAGTGGAGTTGGAGTGGTGTTGGAGTGGGGTTGGAGTTGGAGTGGAGTTGGAGTGGAGTTGCAGTGGAGTTAGAGTGGAGTTGGAGTGGAGTTGGAGTTGGAGTGGAGTTGGAGTGGAGTGGAGTTGGAGTGGAGTTGGAGCGGAGTTGGAGTGGGGTTGCAGTGGAGTTGGAGTGGAGTTGGAGTCAATGGAGTTGCAGTGGAGTTGGAAGGGGGGTGAATAAGCGGGGGGGGGGGGAGGAAGAGGGGGGGGGGGGTGGGGGGTGATCCGCGCTTCTCGCCCTAAAAGCCAGAAAAGGGCCACCAAACGCATTGGAGTGGCCTTTTTTAGTTCTCATCTGCGCTGATCCGCGCTGATCAATCCGTGCTAATCCGCGCTGATCCGCTCTGATCCGCGCTGTTCCGAGCTGATCCACGCCGATCGATCAGCGCTGATCCGTGCCGATCCATCAGCGCGGATCAGCGCGGATCAGCGCGGATGAGAACTAAAAAGGGCTCCTTTTCTGGCGTTTAGCCCGGATCAATGTGGCCCCATCAGGGCGGACAAGCGCGGATCACCCCCCACTCCCCCTCTTCCTTTCCGCCCCCCCCCCTCTTTTTCCTCAACCTGTCCACTACAACTCCGACTCCACTCCACTGCAACTCCACTCCAACTCCACTCCAACTCCAACTCCACTCCAACTCCACTCCAACTCCACTCCAACTCCACTGCAACTCCACTCCAACTCCACTCCACTCCAACTCCACTCCAACTCCACTTTACCCCCACTCCAACTCCACTCCAACTCCACTCCAACTCCACTCCACTCCAACTCCACTCCAACTCCACTCCAACTCCAACTCCACTCCAACTCCACTCCAACTCCACTCCAAATCCACTCCACTCCAACTCCACTCCAACTCCACTCCACCCCCACTCCAACTCCACTCCAACTCCACTCCAACTCCACTCCACTCCAACTCCACTCCAACTCCACTCCAACTCCAACTCCACTCCAGCCCCACTCCAACTCCACTCCACTCCAATTCCAGCTCCAACTCCAGTCCGACTGCACTCAAACTCCACTTCAACTCCAACCCAACTCCACCCCCACTCCAACTCCACTCCAACTCCACTCCACTCCAACTA